TTGAAAAAAATAATTTCTTAGTTCTGCACGTTCTAATGAGTAATATTGTTTCAAATCAAGAAACAGGTTTGTGTTGCCTGATAATATTAATAATAATATAAAAAATTTTGTCTCTTAGAAATACATATTTAATAGTAGCTTAAGTTAGGATGCAGATGTAGATTTATGTTCATTATCAAAATCAGTAATATCTGTAAGTATTGTAGCAACCTCATTTTTATATGGTGAAATTTAATTATTCTGACTTTTTTAAAATTTATTTATTTTTTATTAACCATTGGTCTTCCATAGTAGCATACATTTAGATCATGATAATCAGTTAAAACCACAAATATAGCACCTCAGTACTATGGTAAAAATTTAATATGGTTTTTAGGTATTTGTATGAAAAACCGTAAGTAGTAGGGCTGTGCGATATTGAAGAAAAATGATATACGAGATATGCGATAACTCATTAAATAATGCGATAGTCGATATGCGATACGATAATGCTTAAAATGCCACATGCTCAGATGAAACCGTTTTACTCGGCTGTTGCTGAGTCAGTTCTGTGAACTTCTATAACTATCTTGTCATATATATACTGTATATATATGGTTATTTGTATGTATGTATCAAGAGCTCCTGTAAAACCACAACAAATTCCTTGTGTTTGCGCACACTTAAGTGGTGAATAAAGCTCATTCTGATTCTAATTAACTAGCATACATGTTTCACTTTTTGTGAGAAGAAAGCACCCCTACAACAACTTCTGAAAGTGAACTGTACTTCAACAAAACACTGAAAGTGTTTTACTCTAGCATTACATAAAAATGTCATTTTAACAAGTTTAGGAACTGAATAATAAAAATAAAAAATACAACACTGCTTAGTATTTACTCTATGAATTCAATATGCACTGATTCTTATTTAAGCTATAAGTTATTTAGGTAAGAGCAGTGAGTTATTTTCTCTTTGTGATTTGTTCATGGCCCCATATATTGCAAGCCATAGCGATATGCATATTGCGATATGTATATTTGCGATATTTCGATATATTGCACAGCCCTAGTAAGTAGTCTAAATAAATTTTGTATAAATGCATAAACGCTATAGCTTAATCACAAAAAAAATACTGTAATTATATTCCATTACTCCTCCTTCAGTGCATTTAAAACATGTCTACATTAATAATATAAATTCGACACAAATACCCACATTTCTGACACAATACCATGGTGCAGTTAGTGCTACTACAGTAAATCTATGGTAAATGATTGCAATTTGTAGATAGTCTTCTAACTGTATCGTTGCGCACAGTGTTTTTCCTGTTTGTCAGCGCTGTTTCATCTGGCTGTAAACAGAGTTATTGGTGTTCTTCGCTGAATGCAAGCGCTTCACACTGGATCTCACAGCACCGTTTGATCGAGACTCATCAGCAAGTAACGCATCTGCTCTAGTGAAGCTCGCGCTGCGCCGCCGTTTAAACTTTGATCCGAGCGGATAAACGGTCCGAGTGACCCACTTCAAATGAGTTGCGCTCTTTCATTCCGCCTTTTCCTCATAAACATTATATCGAAAATTTATCGATCTCTTGTTATCGTTTATCGAGGAAATTTATATTGCGCAATAATTAACGTTATTCATTTATCGCCCAGCCCTAGTCCTCCCTCTCTGTTGTAAACAACAATGGCATCATTCATGCAAGGTTTTGCTACTACGCATGCATCACAACTGCACTGTCCGCTGGAGTACTGCCCACAAGGCTATCGGCTCTGACTACCTTAAATTTCATATGCCCTCTATGACTGCTGATGTCTTTTCGGGTTTTGTTTTTATTGTCTAGATTGTTGGGCTGACAGAAAAGGAAGTGTTCACTGCTCATGAGATGGTGGGTTGTCTTGAGTTGGGAAACTCTGCACGAACAGTGGGTTCAACAGCCATGAATGCAGCCTCATCTCGCTCACATGCCATCTTTACCATATCACTGGAGCAGCGACGCAAAGGAGACAAGTATGTAAATGCAACAGCACATGCTTTTAAACTAAGATATTAACTTAAAATGGTTGTTTGGAGACTCGATAAATTGAGTTGGCTGTTATAAGGCTTCTTTTTACATATAAAAATAAGTATTTAATAGGGGAAATGGAGTTAGCATCTAAAAAAATTAGAATATCATGAAAAAGGTCAATATTTTGTCACTCATTTCACTGGACTTCAGAAAACACAGTGGACCAACACCAGCAGAAGACATGGCAGCCCAAATCATCACTGACTGTGGAAACTTCACACTGGACTTCAAGCAACATGGTTTCTGTGCCTCTCCACTCTTCCTCCAGACTCTGGGACCTTGATTTCCAAATGAAATGCAAAAATTACTTTCATCTGAAAACACGAGGAATGCGACATTTGTAGCCCATGTCTAGGATTCGTCTGTGCGTAGTGGCTCTTGATGCGCTGATGCCAGCCTCAGTCCACTCCTTGTGAAGCTCCCCCAAATTCTTGAATGAATTTTGCCTGACAATCCTCTGAAGGCTGCGGTCATCCCTTTTGCTGGTGCACCTTTTCCTACCACACTTTTTCCTTCCACTCAACTTTCTATGAATATGCTTGGATACAGCACTCTGTGAACAACCAGCTTCTTTAGCAATGAACTTTTGTGGCTTACCCAAAATTTTTTGTCATGTTGTATATTAAGAGTGGACATATGCAGTTGTTTGTGACTGAAAAATGTTTACAATAAAACTGCTAAGCATTTTTGATGCAATGAGAGGTGCTAATGAAAGAAATTCATTAGTTAAAATTGATAAATTGTTAAAAAAATTTTTGCTTGACCTTTATAAAACTGTAAAATGTTTGTCTATAACTGTAGAATAATTGTAAATGGTTGCTTCATTTAAATTGCAATTTGTTTGTCAAGGAGTGATGTCATGGTCTCCAAATTGCACTTGGTGGATCTTGCTGGATCTGAGAGACAAAAAAAAACTAAAGCAGAGGGAGATCGACTCAAAGAGGGTGAGTGCAATCTAAAAAAATCCATTCTTATAATTTGTTATTGCCTTTTTTTCAAGGAATAAAGTTCATAGTTTTGCTCTTCGTTGGGATCTCTACATGCCAGCATTTTTGAGCCAACATGTAAATCATGTCTGAAAGCAGACATAATGCACCTAAAAAAAGAAAATGGTCTTTTACTCATTCTTATGTCTTTCCAACCCATATGACTCGACACAAAAGGAACAATTCTGCATAATATGCTGGTCAGAATGGACATGAACTGCAGTAAAAGGCCCCTATTTTTAAGCACAACAAACTACTTTTCAAACAAAATGTGTTGCTCCATGTTCAATAGAAAGATACACTGTGCACAACATAAACAAGTGCACCACCTCTGAAGTTTAACACAATTTCTCAAATACCAATCTCTCATTACTTAGACATATATTAAGGTTCTAAGTCTGATTGGTCAATTACCAAAGAAGCATAGAAGCATATCAGTATTAATTAGGAAAATAACCTCTTTTTTTTTTATAGTGCAAAATTACAGTCATTTTGATAATGCTGTATTACTGAATATTAAGTGTCCTTTTAATCTCCTACTAAGCAAACCAGAGACAACATTGGCAAGGAGCCCAAACTCCAACATGTGGCAGAAAAACCTTAGGAGAAACCAGTCTCAGTCGTGGGACAAGTTCTCCTCTGGCCAAATGAATGAACACGGTGTGATATTGATTGCAGACTTTTTTGCATTCAGCTCCTATTGCTTGAAGATGTTGTGTTAGCATTAGGATGTGTTAGCATGTAACAAGCACATAGGGTGTTATGTGAAGTGTTCCCAGTTCCAGTTGACCTAATTAATGCAATTTACAAATCCTTTTAAGGGATTTGATATATAGAAATGTGATATTGTGTTATGAGCATTCTAGGTTAAAGAGATGGATTTTTAATCTAGATTTAAACTGACAGTGTGCCTGCCTTCTGTACAATGCTAGAAAGACCAGAGTTTGGGAACTAAATAGAAAAAGATTGTACTGCCTACAGTTGTTCAAGATTACTTTATTTGTCCCATGGGGAAATTTGTCTCGGACATAAAGGCTGCCACATAAAAAATACATACAGTTATAGGACATTATTACACGGCTCTGTGGAATACTTGATTCTGATTGGTCGATAACAACCGGTAAAAGCTGATAACAAAGGCTCATCCGTAGGGCTGCACGATATTGGAAAAAACTCACATTGCGATATTTTATTTTTCTGCGATTTATATATTGCGATATGAAAAAAAAAAAATCACCACATGACTTGAATAGTTTATTTGGAAAAAAAATATTGATTGGGGGGATTTTGTAGGCGAGTAAATCAGCATAGGAAATAAACAAATTACAAGCGTAGATAAATATAACCGAACAAAGACACAAATGAAATAAGCAGTGCTTTATATTTTTCAGGTAAGTCTAACAGTATTCAGCTACAGAAATTGAATAATCAAATGTAAAATAACACTGCATAGTCTTCACTGAATAATTAAATCTAATAAATCTGTGTTAAAGCTACAAAAGTGATTTTTCTTTGTGTTTTGTTGTTTGATTAACGTTCATGA